GGGGGAGGGAGGCTACGTTATACGCATAGGCGGTAAAGGGCTGAACTTTTTTTGAATACGTACTTTTAAAAAAGGGATTTGAACAGCTATTTTGTCGTGAAGGAAAAGCCGCTTGATTAGGAGAAGCAGTCAAACAGTAAGCTACAGTATACACATCGCTGTTTTATTTTCCTTTTGGTTGATATTGTATGGGCTGGAAAGCTAAAGGATGTCAAGTTTGGATAATATTTGAATGGGAGACCTCCAGAGACTACCAGTAAGAAAAAAAAAATCACAGAAAAAAGCCCTGTCAAACCATTAACATATGGCTGCCAAGAAAACTGCATAGCTGTGACCATGAAATTTTGCAGATTTTAGCTTTTTTTTTTTTTCTTTTTGCTTTGCAATATAGAGGAGTAGCAACTGCAGAGAACAGAACCCTAATCCAAAAATCTTTTAATTTTTTTTTCCCAGTCTTTCTATCACTCATGCCCAGGGACATAGCACTTTCTGTGGGCTTTACTATTTCAGGAAGGGAAATGGAACAAATGTAATCAAGAGAAGGCAGCAGCTGCTACTTTGTCTTCCTGCTCAACTGCCTTAGCTACCACAACAAAAGAAGGGAGTCTTGAGAATGGTTGGTGACAGATGCGTTGGCTTGTTGCTTTTTCTTTCTGGGCAGTTCCACATGTAGGGTTGGTCATAAAATAAGTTACATACTCCCTCACTCATCTGATCTGTCCCTTTTGGCTTACATAACCCAGTTTTCCATATCATCTGGTGAAGAAGGAAAAAAATTGTATTTCTTCCTTTAAAAAGCATCCATGTTTCCAGTTACATGCAGATGGTGAAGTCCAGTTCTTTCTGTCTCCCCAACAGTGCAACATAGAAATGTAATCTTGATATTTAATTGATAGATATTTGATCATTGATTACAATGTAGCCAATACCCTTCCCAACTATAAAAGCTCCATTCCTTCTTTGTTTTTCATGTCCTGAGTAGTAAAAAGTGTGATCTTCTGACTAAAAGTGTCCAGTCATAGTCCATCTCAATTTGCTGATGCCTAAAATGTTAATTTACAGTTGTTTCATTTCAACTTTCATCATGTTGAGCTTTTCCATTTTCATGCTTCTTACCTTCCATGTTCCTACTGTAATTCTGTCTTTGCAGCTTCAGATCTTCTTTTCCTGTATGGCAACATCAGCAACTAGATGTCCTGAAGGCTTTAATCTAACCACATCTTAAACACTATTAATACTCCAAGAGATACTCAACTCTTCCTCAGTAGCAGGTTGAGTGCCATCTAACCTGAGGGTCCATTATCCTGCACTAAATTGTTAACTGTTTTATTTTCTATTCATATATTATATTCATTTCTATTCTGTTCTCGGTAAAAGAAAGGAATGGTTTACTGTTGCCTTGTTCTGCACTGAATGAACAAGTGCAGAACAAGTATGAGGCTTGCTTTAGTTGGGAAGCTGGGATGGCTTCATGCCTTGGGTGACCCTGCTGGGAATATATATTCTTCCCTGCTGGGAATATAAACTCTTGACATACACTCCCAGCACCCAGCAGGACATGGGGGGCTATAGAAATTACAGTATGATAATACATGGGCATTTGTTTCAATTGCCACCAAACAACAAGGGCAATCTCATTTAGGCAAGGGGAGTTTAATATATCTACTATCATCAGTAGGAGCACTGATAGTAACACATTATGCCATGTCTGAAAGAAATCCTTTCCCTACCTTGGAAAGGTAAGCGATGTTAGATATTTAGCCAGCATCCAAGACCTTTTGAAATCCAGGTTCTGTTTTTCTGGGGCATCCTGTTGGCCTACAATTTTTACAGTGAATAAAAGCAAAAGATACTAATTGCTCTCCTGCCTTCTGTTTATATATTCATCTTCTTTCATTATGTAGGATATAAAAAAAGGGCTGAAAACAAAAGATTGTGGCATGTACTAACTGTGACAATGTATTACTGTATCAGATTATTATTTAAATAATAAAAGTTCTCATATTGTCTCTGCTATAGGAAGACCCTATTTTGATTCGTCATTTTAGAGGCCACAAAGATGCAGTCACTTGTGTGGCTTTCAGTCCAACTACTAAAGGTCTTGGTAAGTCTACCTGAAGCATATCTAAAAATGTTAATTCTATGATCTCATAGTGGTATCTCTATAGATAAAAAACAAATGTAACTGCTATTTGCTGAACTCCATACTTTAGGGCAATTATAACTTGAAAGCAAGAAGCTCCAAAATGCTGCCACAAATGATCATTTTAATTTGTAAGTAGTATCCAGCTCTTTGGAGTTGAAGGTAGCCTTAATATAGTTCAATAAGTTCTAGAATGAACATATTGAACTATATTAATTTTGCTTAATATAGCTAAATATGTTCTAGAATGAAAACAGTTATGGAAATCTATCCTATAGATAGAACCTTATCCTGTAATGGTGTAGATATCAGTAGAAATCAAGTGAAGGTATTAAAGGGACAAAAGAGGTCGCTCTTGCCTTGGGCAGATCCATAAATTTTCCACAGATAGTAAAGGTTGTTTTCTTGTAATAATACATTCTAAAGAGTCTTACAGATTTTAATCATTTGGTATTTGCCAGTGTAAATTTAGCAAGACAGATTATATATACATATACATATATACATACATACTGATCCTACTATATCTTTTTAAGGTAAACAGTGTTACAGGTAGTCCTCAGTTAATGACTCTAATTGGTAGTAGTCCCAGTTGCAGTCATTAGGTGAGGACCTCATGCTTCTCCTGCCCTGCCATGCTCGCTTTCCCTTCAACTCCCCCATCCACCTATTTCCCTCCATCTCTGTCCTTTTGGCTGCCTTACACTCCATACCTACCACTACCTCCCCCTACTGGCCCCAGCTCACCTTCACCATCTTCTTCCTCCCACTACTGACAAGGCGTGCCCCACTGAGGCAGCTGCTGGCCCTTTGCAAGGCCTTATAACTAACTAATCACTAAGTATATTAAGTATACTAAAAAAATAAAAGCAAAATCAAAAATATGATAAAGAATGGAAGGACTTTATTTCTTATAAATAATATGGGATGTTTCTGGGCAAGATCAGTTGAGAACCTAGCAAGTTTCAGGATAGACAACCAATTCTCAGTCTGGAAATAGATGGACTGAGTGGGAAAATAACCACTGATGTGCTGATATCTATGTTATGTTTCTACACCAGTTCACTTTTTGTTTTACAGCTTTAGAATTTTTTCTTTGCAGCCACCTCTTCTCTGGATAGGTTTCTCATGATATGGAATTTGAGGCCAAACTCCAAAGCCTTCAGATTTGTGGGTCATTTAGAAGGGGTAACCAGTGTACAGTTTTCACCAGATGGACATTTGTTGGCATCTGCTTCTCAAGACCGAACCGCCAGACTGTGGATTCCTTGTATGTAAGTAGCACTGGTTCCCATTTATTTATTTCAGTTATACAAATTTTATATATATCTTAGGCTTAGGACAATTAGTTACTTTTTCTAGAAGGAGAGGTAAATGAAAACAGTTTTATTTTCTACAAGCTTTATTTGAACTAAGCTGATATATTTTGTTTAAAGTATAGTTTCCTCAGAACATGTTATCAGATATACATAAGAGGTCAGATCTTTGTCCTTAAGATCCTTGAAAATGTCACTTGTATTCAGACTTAATCCCAATGACAGATTTTGAAATTGTAGAACAGCTATGTAAAAATTTTGGCAAAATAAATTCCATTCTAATCAACAAATATTAACATATGCCGTTCTAGTTTAATATTGCTCTGTAAAAGCTTATTTAAAGAAGAAACTCCTAAAATGATTCTGGAAAATAACTTCACTAGCTGTCCATTTTATATAACTTTCTGGATCAAGAAGTGGTAAAATATCCTCTGTTATCCCCATAAGTCAGAGTAGACAAGGCTTTAGTGCAAGCGGAGCTTGTTTAGTGTTTGTGGGGTGAGGATTTTAGTGGATAAAATGATGAAGCTCCTAGGCCCAGGCTTATATTTTTTGTAATTTTGAGGAATTTTTCTTTCCAATATAGTCAACGCTTGCAATACTTTTTTTTTTTAATTTTTCATGCCTGAAACTTGCCAAAAACCATGTTGCCAGAGTTTGGCAGCACATTTGGAAGGGAGTCTCTAAAAATTGTAAAGAAATTACTGAGGGTCACAGTAACTGTCCATCCCGAAATAACAAATAAGTACTTTAACAATGGTTAAAATAGAGAGGGATTATGTTTTTAGCAATAGCATTTTGTTAAGCTATGCCTGAAGCTTGGTGTTTTTTTTTTTGAAGCAATTGGTACAATGCTAACATTACTAATTAAAGTTATTCTTTGTGTAAGAATTCTGTGATTTTCACAGAAGCAATACCATATTGGACATGAAATAAAGATCTTTTATTTAGGAATGCACCATTTTAAACTAGACAAGTTCAGGCAGGAATCTGTATTATTTAAAACTCTTATGATTATTTTATGCTAAAACATATTTTATTTATTTATTTATAGCCATGGTGAATCCACACCGTTAAAGGGCCATACTGCCCCAGTCCGCAGTGTTAACTTTTCACATGACAGTCAATTTCTAGTTACTGCATCTAATGACAAGTCAGTGAAAGTGTGGAGCATTTACAGCCAACATCTTTTGTTTTCTTTATCCCAGCACACACACTGGGTACGTTGTGCCAAGTAAGTTTTTAATGCTTTACCTTCCTAAAAGTAGTATATTCTTTTTAATTCCTGTGAAGCAGATTTTTTTTTCTCTTTCAAGAGTGCTTTGCTCAGTGATCTCAAAATATATACTGAAGATATGGGTGCAGGCTGTCTGGGAATTCTGTAATCACTCCCCTCAATTCTAACATGGAAAAAAAGCTGGACGCAAATGTTTTCTATATATGCACACACAAACACAGGTGTGTGCTTATACTTGCCATATATTAAATATTTGAAGTTGTTCTAAAATAAAACAGATAATGCCTACAAAAAACTGTATTTATTTATTTGTTTGTTTGTGTGAGATGGGTGGCCATATAAATGTAACAAAGTGACTCTGGGTGGCGGACAATAAAACCTACTATTAAAAATATACTACAAAACCAATTAAAAACAATTAAAACAGTAAATGAAGATAAAAATAAAACCACAAGTGGGAGAATATTACACATAATACAGCCAACACATGGGCTCCCTATTTATTTATTAATTTTATTTATTTTTCAAATTTATATGACTGCCCATTTCACAAGAAATGACTCTGGGCAGCATACAGTAAAAAAAAAGTATAAAACAATAAACATATCAAACCCAGTCATATTAACATACAGACACACACACGAGAGATTTGATCAGCAACGGAGCTATTACCAGGGGATTCCCTGGCTTGTTGAAAAAAACTCATATTAAGGACTTTCCAGAAGGTAATGAGAGTTGGGGCTGACTTTACCTTGGGAGGCATGATGTTCCAGAGGGCGGGTGCCACAGCAGAAAAGGCGTGTCTCCTAGGTCTCGTCAGATGGAACTCCTTCACAGACGGGAGCCACAGCATACCTCTCCTGCCAGCCCTGATGGGATGGGTAGATGTAATCGGGAAGAGGCGGTCCTTCAGATAACCTGGCCCCATGACATATAGGGCTTTAAAGGTCAAAACCAGCATCTTGAATTGGACCCTGAAGCAAACTGGTAACTAATGCAGCTCATGAAGCAGAGGTGTAATGTGTGTCCTCTTAGGGGCACACATAACTGCCCATGCCACTGCTTTTTGCACCAGCTGCAGGTTCTGATACTCTTCAAGAGCAGTTCCATGTAGAGCACATTACAGTAGTCCATATGGGAGGTGATTAGGGCATGAGTATACCGTACTTATGTGCTCTGGCTCTTTCCAACACAGCTATAAATGGTGGCTTAACCGTAATGCTTACAGTATTGTATAATACTGTATAAGTAGTATTGTGTAATTAACTGGAACCATTGTGTATTTAACTCGAATTTTGCTACAGTAGGCTCCATTCATATTTTATGTGTTCTATGGTTTTTATATTTTTAAAGCTGCACTGGGTGGCATTTA